TATATATGAGATCTTACGTATCTATTTGTTTTCTTTTAGGCCGTTTTATTTTGGCAGCAGTCCGCGCTAAAAGAAACCTCTTTTAACGGTCCTATATTTTATGATAAGTACGTTAATATGTCAGAAGATGGTTCTAATGCAGACGACACCAGACAGGTCGGAAATGAAAACTTCGAGGACTCAGACCAGGAACAAAACGAAAACGACTCTTGGTCCCCAACAGGCGAAATGCTTGACCTGCCTATCAAGATTTATAAAGGAAACTTGTTATCACAGAACGACAGATCAGCTATTCTTAAAAGTCAACCGCGTAATTCCCTTATTAAATACGAAGCCCCAGCTATGGACAAGCGTTTGTGGAAGCTCATGCCTACACAATCCAAGGAGGTGGATAAACTATTCGCTAAAATTACGTACAGGACATCAGCTGCACTTCGTCCCTTGGATAATAGCCTCAGAGCCACTTACAACTCAAAGCCCGATGAAAGTGACGAAGCCTTTCAAGCATGGCAATATCTCGAACAATCACTTAGGGATACCCGGGCACTGTTATTGGACTCACTCTCATTCACAAATGAACTTAGAAGGCAGCACTCTCTTAAAGTCATTTCTCCAAATTACACCCCTACGCCAGAAAAAGAGGAGGTGTTTGGAGAGGACCTCGAAACTATTATCAGTAAAGAGAACGCTACAAATAAATTGTTCAATAAAGCTGCAGATAACAAAAAACGTCAACAGTATCCTAGAAGTTATGGATCAAAATCGACGCAATATAGAGGTAACTCCCGTTCTAGCCGTGGGCGCAGAGGAGGATACTCATACTATAATAATACACACGGACAGGGAAACGGAACTCGTGGCGGCTCCAATCAGGGAGGCCGCCAATCTCATTACAACAACCAAAACACATCAACAGAATGACGAATTTATCAGTGGGAAGGAGACTAAAGACCAATATAATGGGCTAGAATCAATTAACAAATTCATCTTGGCATACAAATATTATAAACGAAGGTTTTACACCAGACTGGGTCGCACCTCCACCTATAAAAATTCACCTCATCAACGTAAAGCAGAAGGTATCAACAGAGTTACGCATAGAGATTGGGAAATTGCTCAACAAACAAGTTATAGAAGAAATAAGCCCATTAATCCCCTGTTTCAGATCCAATATATTCACGGTTCCGAAGAAAAATGGTTCTGCGAGACTAATAATAGATTTAAGAAAACTAAATTCATACGTCCGATTTGCACACTTCAAGATGGAAAATATCGAAACAGTAAAACAGCTAATAAAACCAAACGATTTTTTAACATCTATAGATATTCAGGATGCTTTTTATCATGTGCCACTATCTCCATCAGTACGGCATTTTTTCTCTTTCGACATTGGCAACAAACGATACCAATTTACTGCACTCCCGTTCGGTCTTACCAGCAGCCCGAGGATATTCACAAAGATGATGAAACCTCTATTAGCCTGGGCAAGAAGACGAGGAATCAGATTAGTAGTTTATCTAGATGACTTGCTAATAATGGCACAATCAAAAAAGATAGCCTTAGAACACACAGAGTTAATATCTCGGATGCTAGAAAAGTTAGGATTTGCAATAAACCTACAGAAATCGAAACTGATACCCTCACAACAGATAGAATTTCTGGGTTTCATCATAGATACAAAAAAAGCGACCCTCAGCCTTCCAGTGCGGAAAATCAGGGACATAAAAAGAGAATGTATGATAGTTCAAAAGAAACGCAAAATTCACATAAGAAAACTTGCCGCTATAATTGGGAAGCTCTCAGCCACCATTGGCGCAGTATATCCGGCAAGATTGCGAACTCGTGCATTAATTCGAGACAAAAACCTAGCACTCAAGTATCGAGGTTGGAATACTTACCTGACACTATCTCAGGAGAGTCTCCAGCAACTCGAGTGGTGGATCACCAAACTAAACGATTGGAACGGCGCCTGTTTTATTCCCACACACCCTACAACAATCATTTACACAGACGCATCATTGACAGGATGGGGAGCATCTCTAAACAACAGAATTATTCATGGACAATGGAACACAAATCAAAAAAATCTGCACATAAACATATTAGAGTTAAAAGCGATTCATTACGCAATTTTAGCATTCAAAGAAATCAACAATCAAACACTCTTAATAAAGTCCAACAACATTACAGCTGTGGCTTATTTGAATCACCAGGGAGGTACGATGTCACATATGCTGAGCAATCTATCAGAAACAATTTGGGAAATATGTCTAGAACGGAAAATCAAATTGATAGCACAACATATAGCAGGGAAGATGAATTACCTGGCGGACAGAGCATCGAGAATGAAATTGGAACAACAGGACTGGAGATTGAATCCGAGACTCTTTCGTCAACTAGCAAGGAGGTGGGGCCCTTTCTCAATAGATCTTTTTGCGAACAAAATGAATACACAGATAAGCAATTATTACGCAAGATTTCCCGATCCATTAGCATTAGCAACAGATGCCCTGACTCAACCATGGACCAGGGGAATTCTGTGGGCGAATCCACCATGGATTCTCATCCCCAGAATATTGGACAAGATAGTGAGGGATCGAGCTTCACTTTGTTTAATAATTCCCCTATGGAGAACAGCACCTTGGTTTCCGAATTTATTGGATCTACTGATAGATTATCCAAGAATGTTACCGACACATCAGCTGCTAGATCCTCAGATAATGGGTCAAATCAGTCCTATACGAAATCCTCAATGGCGAATATTCGCCTGTCGAGTATCAGGACTAGGTTACAAGCAAAAAAATTTCCGGAAGAAGCTATCAAAATGGTGGAGAACTCAACGAACGAAACATCAAATACATCAGTGGGATTAGCAATTAACAAGTGGCATATTTGGTGTGAGAAACAGGAGGTCGATCCCATTCTTTGCCCTATAGAATCGATCATTCTTTTTCTTACGACACTTCATAAACAGCACAAAGCTTACAATACAATAGCAATGATGAGATCAGCAATTAGCGAAGTTCACGAGCAAATAGATAACTATCAGGTGGGGAGGCATCCTGAAATAGCAAGATTTATGGTTTCATTACGAAAATTAAATCCACCACCATCTCCGCCAGAAAACAGTTTGGATATTGTGCCATCTATGGATTATATCGCTAGTCTAGGAGCTAATGACAATATGTCATTTTTAAATTTATCTCGAAAATCAGCCTTTCTAATAGCATTAGCCTCAGCTTCTAGGCCAAGCGACTTGCAGAGGATTTCCCTAACTTCGCTTAAAAAGTCAGAATCTGGAATATCCTTTCTAGTAATGAATCCAAAAGAGGCAAATATTTCAAGATCACATGGTGGAAATAAAAATAGGGCGAAACCAATTTTTGTTGGATACTATGATGATCAGGATTTTTGTCCTGCATCAGCAGTATTAAAGTTAATAGAGCGATCTCAAGAATGGCGTACAAATAATAATCAATTGGACACACTCTTTTTAACCTCTACTGTACCCCACAGACCAGCGAAGACGGATACCATTTCAAACTGGTTAAAATTTATTCTAGGACAAACAGACTCTAATGCAAAAGCAAAGGATATTAGAGGATTAGCAGCACACTTTGCTCAAGATGCGGGTGCAGATATACCAGCTATACTAGCCTTAGGGAATTGGTCAAGTTATAGAGTTTATCAACGATTTTATCAACGAGGTATTAGGAAGATGTTAGAGCGTAATAGAACCTCCTCTCAAATTATAGATCAGGCAAGACTTACACAAGAAAATACTCTGAAATCTACATAATATTATATATCGAAACGAGTGAAGTACATTTCAATCGATGATCGAGCGTTAGCGAAGATCATAGAGAAATGTATGAACGAGTGGAGATATATAATATCACACTCTTACCCACCCTTTATAGGTATAGTAGATTATAATTGGCATATCAATCTTTCCGATTTATCCCTCCCATGATTAGTAGATAATTTGAAAACGGCCTAAAAGAAAACAAATAGATACGTAAGATCTCATATAT